AGATAGATAGATAGATAGATAGATAGATAGATAGATAGATAGATAGGTAGTTAGATAGATAGATAGATAGATAGATAGAGTATTCCCCTAAAGGTCGTAAAACGTTCGCTTTGCTTTTCACTACCTTATTTCCGGTGGGGTAAAGGTGCCGAATAATCTATCTGAAAGCCTACTGACAAATAAGAGTTCAGCATGTTAGGTTTTGTTCACCGCTGTCGATGAAGTCATCATGGAGCATACGATCAAGGGGACGGTCCAAAAAGACTTTAAGTGATACCGGTCTTGCGTTTCGTAATGCGTTTTAACATTTTCAAAGTGAGCTTGCCGGGTTGAGTTTGTTTGGGGCATGCATGGTGTATGCCCCACCACCGTCCACTCAAGAAATAGCTGTTTTGTGTTGCAAGTGATTGGTTGCGAAATTCACGAGGTGTGGCATGACATAGCAGCGTGGAGTGAAAGCTGGTGCACTCAGTCTAAGTGTTGTGATTTTCGCGCTTTTCTGGGTGAGATTAAGGTGGTCCTGATTGCACACGGCTTAGAACCTTGCACACAACCGATCCCAGTGGCACGCTGTCATGCTGTCACTTCCTAGCCTGTCTGTCTTGTTAACGTTTGCATATCGTTGCAGGCTGCATTTAAGCCTGGTAAGGGTCGTAAAGGATGCTGGGTCAATCTTGTTGATAGCGAATTTCTTCGACGCGATGCTGAGATGCGTTCGTTTCACTGGTGTTCAGAGGTGTCGACACCTTATTCTTGGTCGCTTATTAGAAACATAAGGCTTGTTCGTTTCAAGTTCCCACACACCTCCTCTTCCAACCACTCACTAGGGTTTTCTCCTCACAGTTGAGCGTCAGTATGTTTTACTGGTGCATTGCAACCTTTTCTTTTGTCGGTGCACTGAACACGATGCCCACACAAGATTGTTCAGTGAATATCGTTTTGTTCAGATGTAAGCATTATCTTGTCTTCACTCCCCATACAGTACATCTTGGATACACGCGTGAATCACCGTGTATACAGTCTACTTGCGTTCTACAAGCACAAAGTGGAGGGTGATCCTCTTCTGCAACTGGTGAGAGAAGGAGCTAACAAAATTGCTGTGAAAGATGAAGCTTCGATACTCACAGGTAGGCAGATTAAACCAGTATGATTGTTCTTTTTGTTTTGGCTTACAATGGAGTAACCAACTATTTGGTACTGTTTGCAACCCTAGTGAAGTACCCTAGTTTTTAAACTTACCACACATGCTCGCAAGATGTACGGAAAATTTTTTTCTCTCCTAAGAGACAGAGAGAGTGTTGCAAAGAGTTTCTCACCAGTTATCGTCCTGTTTCGGTTGACCTGTAAGATTTTATCTGTCCTATATGTTTATGTTCCACACCTCAGAAGTCGTTTGTCTAACATCAACTCTCATAACTCAGAGGAAATGACCGTCACTGTACTGAATATATCGTCACGGTTTCGTAAGCCATAGTAGGTCGTGGTAAGTAAGGCAAGACAATAGTTCATATTCGCCGTTGAGTTTCCATCTGATGTATAGCATACACATACATATACATAAACATATACATACATATACATATAGACATATATACACATATACACACATATACATACATACAACCATGAACTGCACATACACAAATAAACTCATGCCACATCGGCCGTCGCGTGGTGCCATCAGCCGGGTCGCCTTACTTGCTGCATACAGCAGGGCGGGTAAGCGAAAACAGGCTTCTGCTGACGCCTCCCTTCTTTCTCCCTCATACGTTTTCTCCCCCCTCTCCCCACCCCATTAATAACTCTCTCCTTGTAGGCCCAGCACTTAGGACTGATGACTCCGT